CCCCAAAACCCCAAAACCCCAAAACCCCAAAACCCCGTGGGTATGAAGAGATATTGAGAATTATTTTAAGTTGAGAAGTCTATTGTTAAGGTATTATCTTCTAGAGAGATTTGAGTAGGATTGAGTTGAAACTTTTCTGTTATTTGCTTTGGATCCAAATAATCGCTACTATATTCGTAATACTGAAATGATTCAAGACTTGCTTTAAAACAAGATTCTAGGACCAATTTTAAAATATGCTCATAGATGGTGCTACTTAAATCTAAAAAGCTTGGCTCTTTCAATTGGCATCATGACAATATAATCTTTTTCAATTTGATGTGAGAAACTTTCGGTATTTCTATATTTCAATGATACATTTCTCATAAAAGAAGAAACTTACTTTTTGTCTGAAAAGCAATTACTCATTGTGAAAGTACTACTTCTTCGAGGTGTCTTCAACACAACAGTATCTTACTAATATCTTTCGGTCCAAGATTAGTGCTTACAAGTTGGAATTCTTTTGTAACAAAGGATAAGGGTTTAGAAAGATATCTGATGTAAGAACCTAAACCAACTGGGGATTTGTTTAAGAAATTCAATTTATATAGTAATAGTTCTTTGCAATCTCTGAGCTGTAATGTTTTCAAAAACTTATCAAAAGACCTGAAATGATCTGCATCACCAGGATCAATGCTCAAGTCTGTATCTTCAGGAATGCAGATCTTTAGGTTTGCCAAATGCCTGAATTCTGAATTACTTCTAAGAAAATTTCCCCATAGTAGAAGAACACCATTAAACTCTCCGATTATCGAGAAAATGATCTTCTTGTGAACATATGTCTCTTTGTTCATAATAGCTTTCTCTTTTGTTGTTATTTGCGATATTTCAAGAGCTTGGCTCTGAGAAAGAGTAGGATTAGTCATCGCATTCTTTGATCTTTCCATGTTGTTAGTTTTTATTTATTACAATTAGATTTTGGAATTTCGGGGTTTTGGGGTTTTGGGGTTTTGGGGTTTTGGGGTTTTGGGG